ACGTGATGTTAAGTGGTTACTGGAGCCCATAGACATATATAATTTAATTGCCGCCACCCACCTTGAGATATAAGTTCTAAGGTCTCAGTATAGTTACAACGGCTGCCCCACCCTTCAAACCGAAACGCATTACTGCTTCACGGCAGAAATAGGCGGGGCGGTGGCACCTACACGTGTGGACTCACAACACGTCCTACCACCAGTAAAAACGTTTCAAAGTCTAAATAAAACACCAAATCTCTAATCAAATAAATATTTATTCCCTTATACAATAATTCGTTTATACACTAAAATAAATCAACACGCTGTACATACGCTACGTGCCGCGGCCAGTGAGTAAACAAACGCCGCGTTTAAAAGCCGCGTTATTTAAAACGCTCATCTCACAACTAAACAATTTAGGTTTTAACGAGAACGGATCAAACAAATTGATCTTCGAATCGTGCATTTGCAGTATTATACTAATCATATCCGAGTGTGAGTGAGTACTCGTGAGCCATCATGAGCACAAGTGGACGAGACTTTCCTCCAACAGGCCGAGGCTCGATCAGAATCTGTCGAACTACGTTCTATCACTGTTCTTTTTTTTTTATTGCTTAGATGGGTGGATGATCTCTGAAAACTGATTTTCTTTTTTTTTTTTATAGTTAAGTCACTTGAATTCCAAAGATGCGAAACGGGTCGTTTTCAAATTTGGGGCCAAAAGCGAGTTATTCGATTTAATTCTCATAACCTTAATGTTACCGTAATTATAAGTACCTACAGTAAATTTGTTGTCATGACAACAGGCACGTGGTCATCTATACTAATATATAAATCTACAGTGGTTTTTACGGCTGTTCCGTTATAACTACTGAACCATGCATCCGATTGACTTGAAACTTGGTATCCATGTAGAAAATACATGTACTTAATGGATTTAAGCTTATATTTATATGAGTGTTGGACTCTCTACACCAGCTGCGGGGGCGTTAATGATGAGAATTTTAGTAGGGATGTGAAATAATAATGTTAATTTTAAATGTGCAGCGAAGCGGACGAGTACAGCTAGTATAACTATTTATATTCGTGAACACTGTTAAATTAGGAGTTATATACATTAAAAACTACCCCAAATCTCATTCGTATCACTGGTCCGAAATTAAATTTCTAACTTGTTTGCTATTTTTACAGAAATGCGTGTTGAAATTCGGCAATTTTATTTAATCAGTATATTATATAATAATAAAGGAAAACTAACTGGGTATTAGAACATTATTAAAAACAAAAGAAGTACATATGATTTCTAAGCTTTTAAAAAAGTTCCTATTTAAATTGTCATCCGTGTTGGCGTTATCAAATACGTAAAATGAAAAATATAAATGAATATTATATAATATTATCAATAAATGAGTAATTGATTTGATTGTGATGAAGCATTTTTTTATTCTGAACATGCCTAAATACAAAAAAAAATGGAAAATTAGAGAAAGTTTAAATTCATGAAATCGTTACCTCTTTTTTGGCCACAAAATTGAAAACTATCCAAATACATATAACATTGATTAAGTAGTTATTTCTCTTTATCGAGTCGACTCTCTTTTGATACACAAAAATACATTCCATTCGTTCATTTACATATAAATAAATAAATATTTTTTTCAAGATTTTGAAAATTACAACATAATTTCACAAGCAATTTTCGAATTTGGTAACAAATTCGTTAAAACATTGTTTTTATTACTATTTTTATTTTTTTAATTTACGTATCACATGTTCTTTTTTATTTATATGTTACTTAAGTACATTTATTAAGTTGTTTATTTTTTTGTTATGTTTATTCTTTATAGGTCAACCTTTCTCTCAGAGGATGGATATTAATAACATTAAATTTTAATATGAGTCGACTATTATCAAAGGCGGCAATGTGACTTTTGGACAATTATTGGTAAATCAGAAAAACGAATTATTGACTTTGTATTCCATTGGCAGTCACAAAACTCTTCTGAACGACATCTTAGATAAATAACAGGTTAAGTATTAACCTTTATGTAATGCAGGTTTTGAACCGTATTCTTTGAAGGAGACGATTATATTCAAATCAATCTGTATTGACATATCAATAACANCGGCAATGTGACTTTTGGACAATTATTGGTAAATCAGAAAAACGAATTATTGACTTTGTATTCCATTGGCAGTCACAAAACTCTTCTGAACGACATCTTAGATAAATAACAGGTTAAGTATTAACCTTTATGTAATGCAGGTTTTGAACCGTATTCTTTGAAGGAGACGATTATATTCAAATCAATCTGTATTGACATATCAATAACATTTTTTTGTCCAAATGCACAGATTGCCACCTTTGATAATAGACGACTCATATGTAGTTCCACTCGATTTGAATGGCATTTAATTGTATTGGGAGGTAATTCCGTCAGAAGAAGCTGTGGGTCGTTGACCCTTTGTGGGAGCTTTTTTACGAGTGCTCGCCGCCCGACTGGAGTCCATAGACATCACCACGTGAGTGCCAGTACTCGCTTTGAGACATGAGGTCGAAGCCCTAAAACGACCGTACCGCCTTTCAAACCTCATAACTCCTGTACCACACTATAGTTGATTTCAGTTTGTGATACATTGCGTGGCATTCAAAAATATATTTTTTTACGACTGAAAGGGTCCATTTATCCTTATTAAATTCATAAAATAGTTAATTCATTCATACATTACTAGTTAATAATACTGGGATAAATAGTGGGCGATTGGATGTTGTTATGCGAATAATAACCAATCAATTGGATGTTGTTATGCGAATTATAACCAATTAATTGGATGTTGTGCGGACCGTCTTAAAGACGTGGTGCTCCGGGGGATGGAATTGTTTATTCCCTCCTCTGAAGTGCCCGTTGGGGGTCGCAGCAGACCCTGGTATAACAATGCCAGTAGGGATGCTGCACACCTCAAGCGGTCCGCATACGTGGCATGGGATAATGCCAGGAGACGTCGGGATCCTAACATCTCAGGGGAAAGGCGGAAATATAACGCCGCTTCCAGGTCCTACAAGAAGGTAATTGCCAAGGCGAAGTCGGAGCACGTTGCTAGAGTTGGCGAGCGATTAAAGAGCTATCCCTCCGGGAGCCGTGCTTTTTGGTCGCTCGCCAAAGCTGCAGAAGGAAACTTTTGCAGGTCTAGTCTCCCACCACTGCGCAAGTCCGATGACACTCTGGCCCACAGCGCGAAAGAGAAGGCTGACCTTCTGGTCAAACTCTTCGCCTCGAACTCGACTGTGGACGACGGGGGTGCCACACCACCGAACATCCCCCGGTGTGATAGCTCCCTGCCGGATATCTGCTTCACACAGTGTGCAGTCAGGCGGGAGCTCCGACTCCTGGACGTCCATAAGTCGAGTGGGCCAGACGGCATCCCCGCAGTGGTTTTGAAAACGTGCGCCCCTGAGCTGACACCTGCGCTAACGCGTTTGTATCGCCTCTCTTATTGCACTAACAGGGTTCCGTCTTCATGGAAGACCGCCCACGTCCACCCTATCCCCAAGAAGGGTGACCGGTCGGACCCATCGAGCTACAGGCCTATCGCGATAACTTCCTTGCTTTCCAAGGTGATGGAGCGAATTATAAATACACAACTCCTGAAGTATCTTGAAGATCGCCAGCTGATCAGTGACCGACAGTACGGTTTCCGTCACGGTCGCTCAGCTGGCGATCTTCTTGTATACCTTACTCACAGGTGGGCTGAAGCCTTGGAGAGCAAGGGCGAGGCTCTTGCTGTGAGCCTTGATATCGCGAAGGCCTTCGACAGGGTCTGGCATAGGGCACTTCTATCGAAGTTACCATCTTACGGAATCCCCGAGGGTCTCTGCAAGTGGATCGCTAGCTTTTTGGATGGGCGGAGCATCACGGTCGTTGTAGACGGTGACTGTTCTGATACCATGACCATTAACGCTGGCGTTCCACAAGGTTCGGTGCTCTCCCCCACGCTTTTCATCCTGTATATCAATGACATGCTGTCTATTGATGGCATGCATTGCTATGCGGATGACAGCACGGGGGATGCGCGATATATCGGCCATCAGAGTCTCTCTCGGAGCGTGGTGCAAGAGAGACGATCAAAACTTGTGTCTGAAGTGGAGAACTCTCTGGGGCGAGTCTCCGAATGGGGTGAATTGAACTTGGTTCAATTCAACCCGATAAAGACACAAGTTTGCGCGTTCACTGCGAAGAAGGACCCCTTTGTCATGGCGCCGCAATTCCAAGGAGTATCCCTGCAACCTTCCGAGAGTATCGGGATACTTGGGGTCGACATTTCGAGCGATGTCCAGTTTCGGAGTCATTTGGAAGGCAAAGCCAAGTTGGCGTCCAAAATGCTGGGAGTCCTCAACAGAGCGAAGCGGTACTTCACGCCTGGACAAAGACTTTTGCTTTATAAAGCACAAGTCCGGCCTCGCATGGAGTACTGCTCCCATCTCTGGGCCGGGGCTCCCAAATACCAGCTTCTTCCATTTGACTCCATACAGAGGAGGGCCGTTCGGATTGTCGATAATCCCATTCTCACGGATCGTTTGGAGCCTCTGGGTCTGCGGAGGGACTTCGGTTCCCTCTGTATTTTGTACCGTATGTTCCATGGGGAGTGCTCTGAGGAATTGTTCGAGATGACACCGGCATCTCGTTTTTACCATCGCACCGGCCGCCACCGGAGTAGAGTTCATCCATACTACCTGGAGCCACTGCGGTCATCCACAGTGCGTTTCCAGAGATCTTTTTTGCCACGTACCATCCGGCTATGGAATGAGCTCCCCTCCACGGTATTTCCCGAGCGCTATGACATGTCCTTCTTCAAACGAGGCTTGTGGAGAGTATTAAGCGGTAGGCAGCGGCTTGGCTCTGCCCCTGGCATTGCTGAAGTCCATGGGCGACGGTAACCACTCACCATCAGGTGGGCCGTATGCTCGTCTGCCTACAAGGGCAATAAAAAAAATAAAATTAAAAAAAATGTTGTTATGCGAATAATACCAATCAATTGGATGATTTTGTTATGCGAATAATAACCAATCCATTGGATGTTGTTATGCGAATAGGAACAATAAATAGAAATACTGCTAATAACACTTTGAGGGACTCAAAGCGTTCAGATCATAGTATCCGTTGGCCGGACTTAAGTACAAAATACAAGACTAGCGTCGTTCTGATGCGGTTCACGGACAGCGGCGTGCCTCACTTCAGAAGTTTCTCCTCCTCGTCAGCCTTCAGGTTGTGGGTCGTGTAAACGTCGCCATTGTTGTCGGGCGACGCGAAAGTTGCCCGAACGTGGGGCGAAGCCGAAACTGGTGGAGGATTGGGCGACACCTGTCGGGCAGGCCTCCGTCAGTGTCAATGTTGATATTATTCATAGAACTCCATGAATATCGTTAAAGGTGTGATTCCGAACTCGGCAAGAAGCAGCAGTGCTGACACTTAAGGTGCTGCCCAGCAGTGACGCCTCTTTTTTATTTATTTATTGCTTAGATGGGTGGACGAACTCAGAGGCCACCTGGCGTTAAATGGTTACTGGAGCCCATAGACATCTACGACGTAAATACGCCACCCACCTTGAAATATAAGTTCTAAGGACTCAAGTATAGTTACAACGGCTGCCCCACACTTCAAATCGAAACGCATTACTGCTTCACGGCAGAAATAGGCAGGGCGGTGGTACCTAGCCGTGCGGACTCATAAGAGGTCCTACCAGCCGCCGCAGCGAGAGTATCTACGTGAATACGTTGGTCTATCGCGGCGATAGGGCCACACTGACGCGCAGCGGTGTTGCCGCTACATTGCTGCCTAGATCGGAATGTAATCTATACTAATATATAAATCTATAGTGGTTTTTACGGATGTTCCGTTATAACTACTAAACCGTGCATCCGATTGACTTGAAATTTGGTATCCATGTAGAAAATACATGTACTTAATGGATAGGCTAATATTTATATGAGTGTTGGACACACTAATAATAATGACAATAAATAATAATGTTAATTTTAAAGGTCCAGGCCCCAAAAAGCGGGCGAGTACGGCTATATCATATAAGCTTATAATAGATGGTATGGGGACCAGTAGTGCCGCGTCAACACTGCTGCGTGCAGCGTATTTCGGAATCATACCTTAAAGCAGCACTCCGCAACGTATGCGAACGTGGTCGTTGACCCCTCAAGAATTCGACGTTGATACGACCTTCGGATGTAACAGCAAGTATTAATAGGAGCACTGACCTGTCTCGATGGAGTCCTGTGCTCCCCGCTCACGCTGATGTCCTCGTCTACAGACTGGAGTAACTAAAACGAGACGAAATAATTGTTTAGTATCAGCAATAAAGGCTAATATATCCCTCCTCCTCGCGTCGTTTTCCTCATTACTGAGGGTCGAGACTCCCCCGCTGCATCAGTTTCTCCCATACGACTTCCCTCCATCTGCCGCGATCCTTTGCTTCATGAAGGGCATTATGGAAATTGATGCTCAGAGAAGATCGTACTTGGTCCGACCATCTCGTGGGACTGCGTCCTCTGGGACGTTTGCCATCTACCTTTCCTGTCACCATCAGCTGTTCAAGATTGTGACCCTCTTTACGAGCAATAATATAATATAATATGAGGCTAATATATACATGGCCCAAAATAACCCTGAACTCACTGTGGATATTGTACCAATTACGCTTATGTAAAGACTCTTCTTCAATGGTGGATGGTGGTAAAACGCAAATGACGTGGTCATTTCAAAGAATACTTCAATTTTCCTCTTTATACCTGGTAGGTGGTGAATTCTATAGATTTCTTACAGTCTAATTGAGGGAAGTCATTTTGTGTAGGCAATGCACAGTAGTTAGCGACACCGGTGGCTGGCTTGAGAGTCCTAATTTCGATTCCCACATCAGACAAACGTTTGGCGGCAAACTGTTTTTGCTCTATCATACATATATCGAGGGGTGAAAGGCTATATATTATCGATATATATTCTACAAGCATGTCATATACCAGTTTTCAGTTCCCATAGATGCAGAGAATCCTAGTTTGGGACCAGACAACCGTGTGAATTGGCCCCAGTTATTATTATAATAAATATACATGAGTAAATTACATGAGTAAACGCACGCACTTAGCGTATGGTCAGTACTTAAGCTAATTTGAACCAATAGGGAACAGTTACTATTTTAACTCCCTGTTTTATGTATATCGGCGCAACACTGCTATTTACTTAACTGAGATTGGTTAAAGTTAACTGTTTCCTTAATGTTAAAATTGTTGGTTAACTATTATAAGTCCAACGCATGCAAACAATTGTGTTTGAGACGGTATTCAATAGAATTCAGGACTAAACTACCCCCAATTTTATTATTATAAATACGAGTGACTATTGTCGCACAATACGCTCTTGCTCGATCAGCCTAACGGGGCGGAGCTCTCTGTGATGCCAGTCACGCCGTCATGTACATTCACAGGAAACGACTTACCTGAAGGATTCGTGATAAGCTGGTACACTGTAAGATTTTCGCGACACAAAATCAAGAGGTGCGTATTGACAATAGCGAATTCGGCCGCGGTTCGTATGACCAATTGATGTGGTGTTTGGCGCATCGCTAGCAGTGTGCCAAGTGAATCCTTTTATTTCGTCCTTGTCCTTTGATTCGGCGTTTTAAGGTATTGATGGTACGCGAGTCTGGGAAAAGGGCTGGCGGAAGGCGTGGCTTCTGGGATACTCCTCACAAAAAGGCCAATGAAGACAATGACATTTTAGTGAATCCCGACTATTTCACTGAGAGATTTCTGATTCATATTGCCTAGTTTAAATTAAGTGAATTGTGGCTCCATTTCCCTTCTCGTATGACAGACAGAGACAACAGACATGAGTGTGGTCTCTTTTTATATAACATATATATTCTTTTTGCCGGTTTAATCGGATGGATTACACAAAAAAGGCACGTGAAACACTGGCGACGAAAAAAACTTAATGAGGAAATGGGGTGACCAGATCATCCAATAAAAATATATGCTGTTACGGGAATAATTTCTGCTTCATATCCGAACTAGATAAATCGATTGCAATTGTATATTCTAGATACGATTATTTCACTGATCTAGTTAGTTGGTATAGAAATAACAAGTTATCTATAGATTAGCTGAAGCTTTGAACGCGCAAAGTTGCTTTTTTCTCTAGATATTCAAGGAGTCTTTGAATTGCTTTCCAAAATATTTAAAATTCTCGTCAATTTATCTAAAATCAAATCATGAATCGATTTTCGCTTCTCTTTTCTTCGTTCTCTATTCGATACGTTTAAAGAATCGAAATTATACAAATCCGATATCGATTTTATACTAATAGGCACGGTCGACGTATCTCTCTCGAGTAGCGGAATATCAGATTCGCTAAACGAATAATCGATATTAATACGATCTTTTTCATAATTTCTCAAATCGGATTCAACAACATTTAATCTATTTGAATCGTTCTCCGAATTGATTGTAAAAAAATCTTGACTATTCCGGGAACAGTGCGGTCTTGTATCGATTTGTTTTATCGATTTTCTTTTCAGCCTGTTTATCGTTAAGGAATCTCGGTGGCGCGTTTTCTTCTGTAGATTTTCTGATTCTAAAAGAATGCGTAATAATCGTAAATAAATCCAGACATGTCTTAATAGCAATAATAAGCTGGTGAGCTTTGTACTCGTACGATTTTTACACCCATTTCTGCCGCGACGCCAGCAAGCTGGATAGGGATTGGGCGATAGGATTTAAACTGGTACCTACCACACGCATTCAGGGGTATATGGTTTTGTGGATTTTAATTACACGATACCTATTCCTTCACCGTTCAGTCGTGGACCACGTGCTAAGCACATGCTTAGAACAATTTGTACAGTACCAGGCGATAAATAGTGTACATGTACTCTTGGTAAGAGTTTTCGATTCGTGCGACCCTAGATACCGGACTGTTTAGTGATTCGTGCGACAAGGACAGCGCTCTATGAGACCGAGATTAGCCGATCATCTCTTTCCAATAGTCGATGCGCGATATTTATTGCCTGGTACTGTACTGCCGTGAACATTTGTTAAGTACATATTCGTACAGTCACACGAGTACATCAGGCGTCCTATGCCATAGTCTGAGACAACGAAAAAAAAAACTAAGCGATAAAGAATTTCAATTGTCTAACCATTAAAATCATTATTGTAATTCCAAAATTTCTTCTCAATGCATTCGGCACAATTGTACGCGTCCAAATCATTCGAAAAATCTGATTTGACACCTGACAGTTTGACATCTGTCAAACGTGCAGCGTCCGGGTAGCGGTTCTCGGAGCCGTTCAAGTTGTCACTGTCCATTTTTAATCGAGATATCCTTTGAGCATTGGCTTGGTTTTTATTATTGTTAATTTTATTTTCGAATACGTCCAAGTTAGGCCAACTTTTGCTGAAACTTTTTCTTCGCCTTTTCACATTTATTAAATCTTTAGCGTTGGCCAAAGTTTTGCCGGAATTCTCTTGTGCATTCCTTGAACTAGAACGTGTATTGAATTGGTCGATGTATGGCCAACTTTTGCGTATGATTTTCTTATCGTGATTTGAACTGGACGTGGATTTTTCCTCAAACACGTCACAATTGAATTCGTCAATTTGAGACTTCTGCATTAATTCTATCGCTATTGAATTCCTCTGTAAAAATTATAGTAGTTCATGAAAATCCCGCTTCGATTTGGTACCATCGCCTTGCTTATTGCTGCTACAAAGCAAGACCGATAGAATATTACGTTTCCTAATAATAGAAAATGTTTACTACTGTGATGAATGTTAAGCACAATACATTGAATTTAAGGGGAACGAAGATAGTTAAAACATAGATCGTCCTGTAAAGATTTTCCTAACTTTTAATGCGCGCAATGCAACGCAAATAAAATCTCCGTTCGACGAAACAGGTCAACGACCGCGTGCAGCTAGGACTTTGCTATCGATTACGCTTTCATCAAGCATGAAATAAGATTATTTTTTTTAGTTTAACATATACTTTTGGGAATAAAAGTAGACAATGAGTGGTTATTTTCTTCTTAGTGACCAAACGAGCTCATGTTTGATCTGGTACTGAGTGGTAAAAGGAGTCCATGGACATCAACAACGTAAATGCCACCTTGCTTGAGACATTTCTAAGTCTCAATTCGATAGTACTACAGCTGCCTATCCTTCAAAACGGCATGCATTACCGATTCACTTTAAAAACAGGCGGGGTGATGGTACCTCTACCCGTAGCGAACAAACATTCTACCACCATTAAAGCTTTACTGGTGGTAAGACCTCTTGTGAGTCCGCACGGGTAGGTACCACCACCCTACCTATTTCTGCCGTGAAGCAGTAATGCATTTCGGTCTGAAGGGCGGGGCAACCGTGGTAGCTGTACTGAGACCTTAGAACTTATATCTCAAGGTGGGTGGCGAATTTACGTTGTAGATGTCTATGGGCTCCAGTAACCACTCAACACCAGGTGGGCTGGGAGCTCGTCCACCCATCTAAGCTATAAAAAAATAATAATAATAATACCGCCACTCACTTATGACCCATGAGATCGAAGCCTCAATTTTATAATACAGGTAATCCTCCTATAACACGGTTTCACTTTAACACGAATAGAAAAACTCACTAAAACCCCCATATAACACGGCACTTCTACAACGCGATAGTTAGATTTTTGTTTAAAATTATTTAGAAGATTACACTATGAACACACAATATATGGGATTAACCCAAATTATACTGAGACGTTTCAATCAGAAAAATTACCCTCCTTTTTTTAGTTGCTTCTAGTCTCATATAACACGGTTTCGTATAGCACGGAACTCTATAGGATCGTATCTACCGCGTTATAGGAGGATTAACCCGATTATCCAATGATATGTACCGGACATACCGACGGCTGTAACTATAAGTCCGAGTCGCGTCCTATTCACTTTGTAGCAGATATAAGCTAGATCGTGGTACCAGCCCTAGCCATGCTATTACGTATCAATTAAACACTAGCGACCTTGGGTTTCGTTTGGGATATACGGCCATTCTCATCACCGGTCATGGCCTTAGAGGGTTCGGGCGTGGCCTCCGCGGATGCGGTACTGCAGGACGGTAAGCGGGTCTGCCAAAAGCAAAACTTGAACTTAGGGTTGACGGGACGTTGACAGATATACGGACACCACGTTGGATCAATGGTCAGCATGAACTGCCATATGTACATGTCGCATCCGGTCACGACAAATGAAGTGAAAGCACGCCACCTAGTGGATGCGAGCTGCAACTACTCGTCAAACACCGGCTCAATTCTGGTGGTGTGCAGAGTCGAGGTGTCATCGCTCGGATTGAATTGAGGCACATTCGTTGGCTAACTTATGAAGAGTGAACACGTCTCGAAGCTGTCGTTTTTTTTTAAACTCCTACCCATGCTGATAGCTTTGAGAGGCTATTTCAGCTTCACCGTAACGTGTAGGTGAGCTCACAGTGCTTCGCAGAATCTACCACCGGATCGGAAACGCGACCCACTGAGAAGATCCCGCGAGAAACTCAGTGGGCTGTGTCTAAGGGTTAATTCGCTCATCGAGCCCTTCGTCGCAAGCGACGAGTTCGACGAGGACGGTGACCGGTGCTTGTGGTACCTAAAAGCACCTTTAATGGATCGGGAGGATCCGTAATGACGTGTTTTGGGCGACGTCGACTGTTTACCATTCGGTCTACAGGATCGAGTATGTAGTTTCCAGCGGCCACGACAACGGGGTTCTCATGTCGTACCGCCTTCTCAAAGTGCAAAACTGTCCTACTGCGCACTCTTTTCAAGACTACCCATCATACGCCCACTATGTCAAAAAATAATGAACATAACGGCCCATTCCGCGACATATGTCTCTATATGTAGAATTGGGATCGTGGCGCATAAAATAAAATTATTTCACTGTTCCACTTTTTTGTAATCTTCTCCAATCTTATAATAATTAAGAATTAACTGACACCCTTTTTACGTCTTGCTCATTCAATCTTCTCCGCCATCTTGCTTTTCTCTGTCATTCTCTTTTTCCTTTCTTACCATTTTCCTTTCACTCACATCTCAACGGTTCGTTCCATAATCTTTTAAAACTTTCCGTTTTTACAAATCCTACATATATATGTGGATTCTCAAAGGGCTGTCACGCCTCAATGATTTATGATACATTTGAGCCCCTTCACGCTAAGAGTCTTCGACTAGCTTTGACATGAGGCTTCGTTCGCTTTGATGTAGTAGTAACCAAAATATACCTCCACTGCGTTTTTAGATTAATGGCTACTAATATGCTTTTTTTGAGTCTTTTGACTACTACCTCCACGCAAAATCTCACGATAATCGGTTAAGCGGTTATACCGTGAAAACGTAAGAAACGGACAAACTCACTAAATCAATGTTACCATGAATTGCATGGAATAAAATCAGGACGTTCCTGGAGTTTTTTGGGTACAAGAGCCCGTGGACATTACTAATGTCCCCACTACTGAAACAGGAAGGCACTACTTCGCAGCGAAAACGGGCAAGATGATACCAATAATTGCGCAAACTATTTTGTTTTTTATTGTTATTCCTTCGTCGTAGAAGACTTTTGCGACCAAGTAAATCCTTGCGTCCTTAGAACGATGTGTATCTGGTCTATGGGACCTGTCTACGATCGCACCAGTTGAAGCTAGTGCATCTGTTGTCCTATGTAGATATATACAGACATTTAGACAACCAATTTTTTTTTTTTGCGATTTTATGTCCTGGTAACTAAGACCTTTAAGTCATATCTTATTTTAATTTATATTCTAAATTTTATGAAAAATGATAATTTGGAGTGAAATGAAATGAGATGAGATGATATGGGATGAAAAATATAATCTCACTAAAATGGTGTCATTTATACTGAGATTTGTTTTGTGGACTTTTTGAAGGATCCCGAGAAGTTACGTCCAGCAGCTTTGTTTCATTTTTCCACATTTGTGCACTTTCACAGATACTAAACCACCGTTATTACACATTTAAACCTGAAGAAACACTAAATAGACAAAATAAAACAATTCACTCGACTTCACTCCTCGCGTTCCCGCCAAAAAGTCCTTTTTTTATATGATACCTTAAAATCCAAAACACAGGACGGTATTTTGGGAAATAAACTGGGGAACTAGGTCCTCGTGTCGGATTCGTAAGCTTACCTTGTCGACTTCAGTGTCGAATTGTTCGTTGGTCGTGCCCTTGGAGAGGGCGCCTTTCTCCATTAGGGTCGCCCTTTTCGCAGCCAGGTACAGAGCGCTGGAGAATAACAAAATACACTTTTATAGAAATTCCAACTAAAAAATATATATTTTTTTTGAATACATTTGAATTAAAAATAGTGTAAGAAAAGATTATTTTATTGTAAAAAAAAGCGTGGGGTGCTTTTCAGGTTATTATCAAAATATCAAAATAACCCTTCTACTCATATCTGTTCATAAAATATTTATAACTAGTGATACCATGCACCCCACGCTTTTTTTTTTAACAACAACAGCACCATATTTTTACAACGAATCATAGTACGGGAACTAAGTATAATAAAATTCAAGGGTTGGCATAAGAATAGTTTTTGTTCCGAAACTATTAATTTGTGTACATATTGTTACGCCGGTAAGAGTAACGCCATCTATCGCCGAACGAATATCTAAGGATCTAGTAGTATCTAGAACTCTCGAGATATGCAACGCCATCTATTGTCAGATAGCGGAAACATAATACTCGAAATGTTGAAAACTTTGAAACTTTGAAATCGTCGTGGCCTAAAGGATAAGACGTCCGGTGCATTCGTATTTAGCGATGCACCGGTGTTCGAATCCCGCAGGCGGGTACCAATTTTTCTAATGAAATACGTACCTAACAAATGTTCACGATTGACTTCCACGGTGAAGGAATAACATCGTGTAATAAAAATTAAACCCGCAAAATTATAATTTGCGTAATTACTGGTGGTAGGACATCTTGTGAGTCCGCACGGGTAGGTCCCGCCCCGCCTATTTCTGCCGTGAAGCAGTAATGCGTTTCGGTTTGAAGGGTGGGGCAGCCGTTGTAACTATACTGAGACCTTAGAACTTAAATCTCAAGGTGTGTGGCGCATTTACGTTGTAGATGTCTATGGGCTCCAGTAACCACTTAACACCAGGTGGGCTGTGAGCTCGTACACACATCTAAGCAATAAAAAAAAAGTGTGGAATATTCTCGATAATTCTAGGGAATGTCTTATCGACCACAAAAGCGTTGCAGAGATGCTCGCAGTTAGTTAATAATCGGAACTACTCGAAGCGAAACAGCGAATGGATTGATTGGTGGACCTGAAGCGAAGCGGAAGAAGCGAATTGAGAGTTTTAAAGTGTTTGCTGAGTGTTTGAAGTGTTCCAAATCATAAATACAGTTTTAATTTATATTTCGGTTGAATTTTTAAGTATCCCGAACCCCAGCAGCGTGTAACAATATGTACAATGATTTGAAAAAGAGCCAACCCAGAGTTTTTTCAGTGGTGAAACCGCAGCTCTGGTAAATTCGAGACCAATCGCCCGAAATAGGATAGCAGAATAAGATTATCTTAATTTCTTAATTTACTTATCTATATATTAATACGTGAAGCAAGAACTTTGTATCCTTTTTACGAAATTTGTGCGGACGGAGGAGTATGAAATTTCCCACACTTATAGAGAATATAGAGAAGGAGTGCACAATGCTAATATTTTTTTTAAATAATGCATAAAAGATACATTAGATCAATAAAGAAAGCACACACTGCCATGTATTTGACACACACACATATGTATATATACTCTTTATTTATTGTCAAACTTTAGTTAAAGCTTAAAGTCTGTGGTCAAATTGAAAATAAGTTAATATTTTTAATTTTTAATATTATATTATTTGTCTATAGTATAGTCTTGGCGAAATCTGTGATTATAGAGGTATAATAGTCTTGAAAACCATAATAATGTTCAAACTTATAATTTCAATGAACTATAGCCGAATTTTGACTACTGTGGGACCACTAGTGTTATTAGATAGTCTTTAAATATAATACTCACCGCTTCACAGTAAGATAGAAAAGTTCGGAAGAAATAGCGCGAACCGAATAGTCCGGTACAAAAGTGTGTCGCAACATCGAGTCCATATTGATGTTCTGTAGGGAACCCATCGCTGATGGTGTAGGAGACTCGGCTGTGAGAGAAAACGGGGTCTGTAGTAGTGTAGTATAGGACTAGAGGCTAGATGTAGGTCGGATCTGTGTCTGTTTGTGTACGAGAAGAGCTCAGGATCAGTACAGAGCCGCAGAGGACTGGGTTTATAGTGATATTCACACTTACCAACTCCAACATTCTGTGTAAGGGCTTGTACACCGAAGTATGTGAAGGGTCCAGCTTCAAAGATCAAGTTCTCCCGTCCTACGGTAACTTCGACCCGTCCTTCTAAGATTAAAACGAAGTAATCGACCTGAAAATATCTTTTTTCATATAATTGTGAATCACATGACTTCTCTTAGCTGAAAAAGAGGAACCGTGTTTGACACCACCTTTGCAATAGTAGGCGGTAATCGAGATAGGCAAGGGATACTCTTGGCAGGAACTTTCGACTTTAATTCAATGAATGCTTCATTCCAGATTCATAGACTTATAAAACACTTAAAATGGGCTTAATGTAGGCAAACAATAAATGGCTCAGTGACATACATCTATAGACAGGACTGTATTAGTAATCCAATATTACTTAAAGCACTTGTTGCCACCAGCATATACGACAGTCAACATTTTTACAAATACATAATTTAGTTTTAGTTAGACGACATTATTTTTTCTACCGTCCACCTCCTACTTTCATATCTTTTTATTTTATTTTTTATTAGTAATTTTGAGTACCTGTCATTTTAAATGTGCGAGAAATTCCAATAAATGGCTTAAAAGTCTCGTTAGCTGGCCATACAACAAAAAAAAATCTTATACCCGGACTGCGTCAATATTATTGTTATTGTATTATTGTACATATATTATTGGTAAATATTTTTATACTAATCCCTTTTGCTTCCAAGAAAGGATTATACGACGATAAATATATTGATTCAGAATGGGTCACAAGTGAAGGTCGCTCACCGGTTTCCCCTGATGGTAAACGTATGTGGCCGAATCCCGTCTGGTCTTCCCCTTAAGTTTGATGTGCTGGATGACGTCTTGCCTCAGGAGACGTCTCAGGACCGTCTCCGAAACTACGTCCGGACGGAACGCGTCTACGCCTAGAACGAGAGCAGCTTTTGGGATGAGGATTCGCGGTTGACGACATTGACAATGTCAAACCACTATGTACTGGTGTAAATCTGTGCTTTACTGGTGGTAGGACCTCTTGCGAGTCCGCACGGGTAAGTACCACCCACCCCGCCTATTTCTGCCGTGAAGCAGTAATGCCTTTCGGTTTGAAGGGTGGGGCAGCCGTTGTAACTAAGCTGAGACCTTAGAACTCATATCTCAAGGTGGATGGCGGCATTTATGTTGTAATGACTATGGGCTTCGGTAACCACTTAAGGTGGTCTGTGAGCTCGTCTACACATCTATGCATTAAAAAAAAGATGACCGTGCGTGATCTGTTCCCAGTTATTAATTTAAGAAAGTGCATTTATCAGCAGCCACTCACTCGTGCTCAGGAACTGGAACGTGGCCAGGGTGAGCTGGGGCGAGATGTGGATCCTCTGGTTCTCGTGCCTCTCCGCGAACGCGGCGAAGTCCTGGAGCTTGTGCGAGGGGCGGTTCCTGCGTCGCTTGCTGCGGTTGTCCACTGTTAGGAGGAAACATCGGGAGCTTCAGCAATAAGTTAATCGACTTCAGGCTACTTACTGTCAGAGAGAGCTTTTGGCGACTTCCTCTGACTTCACGCTTTTAATACTATCGTCTACATACACCCTATATTAATATCAAAAGGAGAAACCCGAAATCCATACAAACTTGGGCCTGGCGTTACAGTGCTAGAATTTGGACATAAATTACAATACCTAAGAAGGTTTCATGAGCTCAATTTTCAGCTCTCCCAGCAATGGCCAAATTGGTAAAATCAGACAATGTTTACATTTTAGGTTATGTTTATTGTTCGAGATATTTTAATAAAAAACGATATTTTTAAGGCTGTTTCCTACTAAAGATGAGTAATTTTTTACGAAACCTGTTGCAGCAGCAGGTTGCTTTGAAATAAAAATGGAACCTGTTACGAGAAATCGTGCATTAGGTTGTTTACGAAAACGAACGAAAGCCAAAATTAAAAACAACGTAATGCGAAACGCGCTGCGCACGAAACGATTTTTTTAAGAGATTTTATGACCTGGTAACTAGGACCTTTAGGTCAGTCTTATTTTAATTTTAATGAAAACTTTTTTATCGATCCTATTTTAGGGATGCTCTAATTCTAACCCACACGTTTGTGGAGCTAGTTACGTATATTGAAATAAGTGTTGCAGATGTTTACAAAGATTGTTTAAAACAAAAAATTTCATTCAACTTATTTTCTACACTTGGCCATTGTCAATGAAGCTAAGATTTCAATAGGTTAATCAAGCAAAATAGACGAATTTTTTTGGTACATATCCCATTCGTGTAACGCTTAGGCCCAGAATGGGGTTTCTCCTTTGTCTCAATCACGCAAAAATGGTTAAAAGAATTCGGATGGCATTTCTGACAAGAAGTTTGTACCCTGGATCTACATATAGGATACCTAGTACCGCGACCCTGGGCGTCGCCGGATCGTTACGTCATTCACGGACAAGTCTACAAATCGACTGGCAGCTTAAAGACAATTGGTTTCATTGTCTCTGGATAACGATATTAAATGCAGTTCAGAGATATGAAGTTCTGGTGAAAAGCGATGGTGAACTGGTTATTCAAGATACAAAGACAAGGAGTGATAATGGAGGGCACAGTATAAAATAAAATTTTAAATAGTGCGTGAGTGAATTAGTGAATGAGTGAGTGAGTGAGTGAATGAGTGAATATGTGTGAGAGTGAATGACTAGTGAGTGAATGAGTGTGTGAAAATGTGAGTGCTGTTTATCGGTGTTAATACTCACTGAACACATCAGTCTCATCGACGATTTCTGCTTGTATCATCTCTTCGATGACATCTTCCAGGGTCACCAGCCCTATGGTCTCGTAGAAGGGATCTCCCTCGCCCTCGTTGTTTATGCGATGGACGAACGCCATGTGTCCTTTGTGACCTGGAGATCGAGTCATCGTTCGTATTTACACAAGGGGGACTCATAGCTTAGTTCCAAAAGAGCTTACCCCCTACTATTCGGATGGTAGGAGAGGATACGGCTAGTGATGCTAGCGGACAGCACGATATCAATGACCCTCAACTTGAGGACGATGGAGTTTTAAATCAGTGTGGTCATTATTCTAGAAACAAGGCATTTATAGTTCAGAGTTCAGAGCGTTAACTGTTTTGTACAGTGACGTCAACGTTTTAAAGCTTTTCACAAATATTAAATCTGTATCTGCGAGAGAGAGACAGCAACGATCTCCATTGAAAACTTTCTACATTTTGAATCCTTCGATTGGCGTGTAGGTCACCGGTGCCCTACGCGGCGCACTCAAGTAATTATGTAGATTCCTATTACTAAGGCACCGGAATATCTAGTAGACTCTGGGAACGACGAATCCGAAGATACTGAGAACGAATCCATTTCTAAGAGACCTAAAAGACTAAAACATAGATTAAAAAGAAGAGAAGACAAAGTTAGGCAACATAAATCGACATAATTATTCCAGAGCGCCGTGTAGGGCACCGGTGACCTACGCGACAGTCAAAGGCTTAAAAATGTAGAAAGTTTTCAATGGAGATCGTTGCTGTATTGTATTGTTTGTCAGCTGCCCCTTTCTTCAAATAGGAGTCCACCATTACGATCCACCTGAAAAATACAAACGAAGCGTCTGCGTGTGAATTAAACACTTCCTACCTTCTTTGAACTGTTTGAACATGACATCCAAGGTGACGTCTTCGAAGACGAAGTTGCAAGGGTTCTGGTAGTACTGGCAGAGGGTCCTCAGGGGCGTGTTGTCGTCGGGATCGACGAAGGCGAGGTCCTTGATGAAGAGCACCGTCACGATGTTCCCGCGGTGACCCTCGTACACCGGGATGCGGGAGTAGCCTGGTGTATGAGGAGGATATACAGAGAAGTTTATGTCCGATTTGAGATTACGGTTCTTTTTTGGTTTGATTATAAGATTACTAGTGGTCCGGAGGCCTTTCTAGTTTGGACAGGACAGGACAGGTGGGCGAGCAAGGGCTCAGCCAGGAGGGCGAAATTGTGGTTACGGTCGTGCGAAAGTTATCGAAGCGTGAAAATTGCCCCTCCCTTCGAACCGTATGATTGTTTCGCTGCCGAAATAGGCAAGAAATTGGTACCTACCAGCACAAAGGACGCTGTGCTACCAGTCCTAAAAAAAAATTTGCTTAGTTGTGCGGACGAGCTCACGGCCCTCCTGGTGTTAAGTGGTTACCGGAGCCCATAGACATCAACAACGTAAATTTCGCCACCCACCTTGAGACATGAGGGGTAAGGTCTCAGTTATTTAAGAGTACAACGGCTGCCCCACCCTTCAAACCGAAACGAATTACTGCTTCACTGTAGAAATAGGCAGAGTGGTAATTACGCAAATTATAATTTTGCGGGTTTGATTTTTATTACACGATGTTATTCCTTCACCGTGGAAGTCAATCGTGAACATTTGTTGAGTACGTCTTTCATTACAATACTTGGTATCCGCCTGCGTGTTCTAACACCAGTACAGTCGCATCGCTAAAAGCGAGTACTCCAAGCTCATCCTTTAGGCCGGGACTACTTAAAACCTCGTTTTCAAAGCTCAGACTTCAAAGCGGGTGGCGGCATTCCAGTTCCAATGTCTACGGACAACCAGTGAACACCAGGTCTGCCAGTTTCTGTACCCGTTTAAGCCGAACAAAAGCATCCATCAGCGTAAAGCTTTCATAAAACTCCTTCATTACGACGTTAAATCTGCTGACAATGACACACCATTCCCGGTGTGCCTAAAGCCACCTACCCGACTTTACAATTTCCGACATCGTCTCGAAGTCCAGGACGCTTGTTATCGGCAACATGAACACGTCCTCCATCTTCGTCATGACGTCTGACACGGTCTTCTTCCTCATCTCGAGGGCGCCGGATATGATGTTCACCTCGTCCTTGTCCAAGTCCCCAGTTGTCACCTGCAAACGATCCACGAACATGAGCACGCTAGGGGCGTGACCGATTGGCCGTCATGGGTTAAAGAGCTCGAGGCCTGGTCTAAAACGGTTGAGCCTATGGACATCACGAAGTGAGACGTGAGGTCGAAGCCCTAATTACCTTGCTTCGCGGCGGGATTAGGCAGAATGATCGTACCTATCCACGCAAGTTCACCCCCCTATCACCATTAAAGGCCGATCATCGATCGCAGTCTACTGGTATATTACTCGAAGACCGCTGGTCTACCAGCGAGCAAATCCCTTAGTCACCTTGAACGACGCCCACAGGAAAGAATGGCAGGTGCTTAGAAATGACATCAAGCAATATTGTAAATCCCTCTAGGCAGCCTAGCTACCCGCATCATAAAAACTGATCGTGTTACATTAAGTGCAGTCCAAAAAGCTTTGTAACAAGGTCACGGTGTTGTGAATCACATAGCCCGGTTTTCGATGGCAGTTTCCAGGTCTCGTTGGAGAGATTGCATATCCTCTTGCACTAGAATACCGACCTTCCACTAAACTAACTCACCTTGATAAGCTCCTTTAGACGTTCCCTGTTGTAAACGCTGCCTATCTCCTCGCCTAAGAAATAGTCCAGGAGTTTACTCACAGGATACGCCATCGGCGCCGTCAGGGCCATAACCGCCTGTTACAACAAGATTAAAATCAGTGTTAGTTACCGGAAGATGTAGACCACTGTTATTATTTGTATTCGTGAGAATTTTTGACTAAAATCTGTTAATAACCTTACTGGTCGAGCCCGCTCTGATATATTATACGATCACCTTGACAATTTCAGTCGTAACACAATACAATTGAGATTTCGACCTGATGTCTAAAGGTTATAAGGAATGTAGTGGCATATGCAAAACATTTGAGGGTTACGGCAGTCAATAAAATAAAAATAAATCCAAACCAACCTTCGTAATCATGATACTCTTGGCACCAATCATAAGACCGTGTCTCGAACATATGGCTTGGGGAGTTATCTCGCCCAGGAGTACGATAGCCAGGGTCGAGAATATAACAGCAAAGAGGCCCGAAGTCAGTTCATCCAACAAAATCGTGAAAGTCGAATTCACAGCCACATTCCCCAACAATATGCTGCACAGCAGGTAATTTCCATGATCCCGGACGGGCATGATGGCTCTGGCGTATTTCCTCTCCGTTTCCGTACCGGTATTGGCTATGATCTTCAATTCGGTCCGGTCCAATGACATCAGTCCGAGATTCAACCCAGAGAAAAGCGCAGAGAATGTCAGGCATATCAGAATCAAACTCAGCGACACCCAGAGCGGCAGCAGGGTGTTGTGGGTAGCAAACGCCTTCCAGGATTCAGTTCCCTGGTGATAGTAATTTTCCTTGTCCTTGGTCGGGTGATCAGCCCCTGCCTGAAGATTCTTAGCGCAGATGTAGATCTTAGAGCCCTCCTGTGAGGGGGGTGCTGTTACATCGAACAACGCGGATCTGGTGGTGACGCTGCCTTCTTTTACCTGTCATGTATTTATTTTATCTTATTTTACTCAATACCGTGAGCCGAACCTTCCAGAGGATTCAAATTCAGAGCAAATGACCGTCTAATACCCTGGACCCTACTATAGATGATTTAGGTATTGACTTGTAAAGTTATAAAATATTGCACAAAGGAACATTCTTTCAGATATGAAGACATATCTAGTACATCATGTAGCTAATATGACAGCGCAAATGTGATTCTGATAGGATCATGGCCGTCAGCAAAAGTGACTATTTCGCATCAGAACTAGCTTGGTCAAGAAACCCCAAATAACTTTCATGATAATATATGTACATAAATAAAGGGTGGGTACAGCATGCGATATACTTAATCGACCTCATTTCGGAATGTGAGCCGTGGTGGTGGAATGTGGGTCAACATTCAGGTTGTGAAACCAATGGGCCCTGATAACTACTTTATGTAAGCAAGTGACTTATTTCCACACCAACGGCAGTGACTATTATAAATATAATTATTACGATTTTGATTCATGGGAAGAATTTTGAAGAAGGGTAGAATGAATATATATATTTTTTAAATGATTTAACAGTCTTTAATTACCATATACTCTCCCATGAGTAGAAACTTGCAGGGTTGGCCGTACGGCAGGTCTTGTCGTGTGAAAGCGATGGCAGTTTTCGAAGTTAACCCATCGCCGAATACCCTAGAATTCATGAGATGCCCTGCTCAGATGCCACATTCAAAATACAGGTTTGATAGAATAGAGATAGAGAGAGAGAGAGAGAAAGAGAGAGAGAGAGAGAGTCAATAAGCGTGCCCGTTTCCATCGCGAAGCAGTGAAGCGTCTGAAGGATGAGGCAGCTTTTGTGCTACTACAATATTGCGACTTTCATGTCTCGAGGTGGCGGCATTTACGTTGCTGATGTCTATGGGCTCCGGTAATGATTTGCGGCAGAAATAACTAGTATGCTAGTAGGCAACCGTGCGGGCAGTGTAGAAGCGGCTCATATTATATTTTTATAACATTAAGAGAAACACAATTTAAATAAAAATAAAAATACGCCAGCGAGTGGTCTGGTTGGCTGGGCCCCTGACATTGTTGATGCAACATTGTATATGTGCGATGGTAGCCACTCACCATCAGATGAGCCATATGGTCATCCGCCTAAAGTGGCAATAAAAAATCACTGCAATCCTTTTATTGGAGTACTAAAGTCAAACACGTTTAGAGATTCACCACGTGTATCGTGATGACTATTGAGTGGAAACAAATTTATTTTCCGAAAATAATTTCCTTTCGTCAGAATTTTGTGTGCTAAAGGCTAAAATCTCCAACCTCTGATTCTTTTTCCAAATATACCCTACACCCTTAATAGCGGAATAACGAAGCATCGTCTTCTGGCTATTGTTTGGTTCAACACCGGATTTTAAGGGATTATTTTTATAGAGTTCCGAGGGTAATAATTAAAAAGATCAGAGGTTCAAAACGATACGCCCCTTCAGCGCCTTGACAAGAACGATCCCGAAAAATCACAACCGAATCCCACCACCTGTTCAATCGCAATGATGTGTTTTATTTCATTGAATTTCTCCACATACCTGATCGTAACTGCAGTATCGGCCAGCACACTCGGTATTCCGTCTTCAACATGTGGTTCTTTCTCGGACTCTTCGATCCTGATTCCTTCGATGAAAATATCGATAGGGGCCGCTCGCATACTCGTAAAATCATTCGAATCTACTATTTGACGAGATTTTCTTATCAATTCCTCTGAGAACAATTCACTCGCAGATCCTTGAGCTCTTGTTCGAGTGTCATCTTTACTGCCATCATCATTAGAAGCGTTTTTGTTTAACACGACATTGTCTAAATCTGTCGATCTTCTCTCCGCAGCTTTCGCCGCAATCCCATCAGCTCTTTTAAACCGTCCCAAATTATTCTTTTCATCCCAAACTTTATCGGTTCCATCCAGAGCTATATAATCATCGTGTCTCAATATTTCTACATCTGGATTATCATTACGAGTAGGTCTGGCTCTGGGAAGATAATTCACGTCGATGTCGTGGGAGAGGTCGATCCAGTTAACTTCGTTTTCCTGGAGTTCGTTGAGAGACCTCGGCTTTTGCGATCTGAAGGCATAAAAAAGCAATGAATAGCATTTAAATTTTTTAATTTTTTCTCTATCCTTGTCCACAGTTCTTAGGAGTCAACAGATTGGGATTTTGCTATCGTTTGCATAACTCCCTCCAGTTGTTGTGGAGAAAAGTTAATGTTAGTAAAGGCGTGCAGGGAATCGAAAATGACTTACACAAGCAGCAAGTCGCTCAGAAAAATTACGTAATTATTTTTGTTTTGCATTGACTGGCGATAGAGGGATTGAGTTGAAACTTGGTATCCATGTAGAAAATACATGTACTTAATGGATAGGCTAATTTCGGTGAATGAAAATTCTCGAATTTCTATGAATTTCGGTAAATATTGAACGGGCCTACGCCAAGTGGAGTTCATTTTCAGCTTTAGTTTCGTCTGATGTTTCGTCCTGCAAAAACTTCCGAACAATCCGGCACGTATTTAAAATTATGGCTTTGCGCATGGTTATTATTATTATTATTGTCTCCGTTCAACACCAGATAGGAACATGAGCTACTTTCCGTTAATTGCATCACACTAAGCCGCAATTATTGTTCGTCTAATCACACTTATAATGCAGTTGCGTGTTTTAGAAACTCATTTAACAAATAGCTACAATATTAATGAATTCGTTTAGGATACTTTCGCTTCGCTATTTACATGAACTAATGGTCCCGCAGTAGTCGAAATTCGACTATAATTAATTGAAAAGTTTGAACATTATTACGGTTCTATTGTCAAAGACTACGATACTTCTATAATCACGGATTTCGCCAAGACTACACTATAGCCAAATAATACTAAGGACAAACAATATTAATATATTCTCAATTTGACCACAGACTTTAAGCATAACAAAAGTTTAAGAATAAACAAAGAGTATATTTATATATTTAGCTATGTGTTGTGTCAAATACATGGTAGTGTGTGTAATGTTTGCAAGGCAGAATTAAAAAAAAAATTAGCATTCTGCACTCCTCTATATTCTCTATGAGTGTGGGAAATTTCATAATCCTCCGTCCGCGCAATTTTCGTAAAAAGAGATACACTTCACGTACTAATATATAAATTATGTAACAAAAAAAAACAAAAAAAATTATTATTATTATTAGCCGTCACATCGTCCGAGCGTGGTGGGGGCAGTCGAGCATCGGGTCCCAGGGACCGCCCCCCTGCCGGGGCGCAGGCTCCCTGCCTGATAAGACAGGCGTGATATGTTTGCTGGATTGTCAATATGTTCTGGTGTGGGTACTCCTACTCCCGTGGCGGCCTCAACTGCTCTCCACCGCATTATCACTGCTCTAAAACTTACATCTACCTTACAAGGTACAAATTTTTGCGACTTGCGACAAAAACTTTGTACCCCTTTTTACGAAAATTGCGCGGACGGAGGAGTATGAAATTTTCCACACTTATACAGAATATAGAGAGGAAGTGTACAATGCTAATACTTTTTTAAAATAATGCATAAACGATACATTAAATCAATAATGAAAACATTACACACAATACATACATTGTATTTGACGCACACACGCATGCATACTATTTGTTGCCAACTTTTGTTCTTGACGTCTGTTGTCAAATTGAGAATAGATTAAATATTAACAAAGACAAACAATTGTCTTTGTTAATATTTTTTATAGTGTAGTCTTGGCGAAATTTGTGATTATAGAAGTATAAAATACAATCATAATAGTGTACAAACTTACAATTCCAATTAATTATAGTCGAATTTCGACTACTGCGGTACCTCTAGTATAATATATTACATAAATTAGAGCCGAAAGGGCGGATGTCGGTCGTGGCGAGAATTCGGTAATTGACCCATGTGTCTTATTCTGGCTGTTATTTTTTCTAAATTCGTCTGGTGTGAGTGACGTCATTTGTGGTCAAGCATCCGGCCATTAATCACGTGGACGATGATTGGCAATATGATATCGATGAGTGAAAGGCCATGTGATTAAAGCGACATTTCGGTTAACACGCGACATTTATGGTGGTGGTAGGACCTCTTATGAGTCCGCACGGGTAGGTACCACCGCCCCGCCTATTTCTGCCGTGAAGCAGTAATGCGTTTCTGTTTGAAGGGTGGGGCAGCCGTTGTAACTATACTGAGACCTTAGAACTTAAATCTCAAGGTGTGTGGCGCATTTCCGTTGTAGATATCTATGGGTTCCAGTATCGTCCACACAGTCCAGTGAGCTCGTCCACAAATCTAGGCAATTAAAAAAAATAAAAAAAAAAAATCTTTTGTAATTAAAGGTCAGTTTTATTTTGTACTAGCTGTACCCGTCCGCTTCGCTGGGCATTTAAAATTAACATTATTATTTCTCACCCCCACAAAGATTCTCATCATTAACGTCTCTGGACTAGATCGGGTGGTAATTTTTCCTTGGGGCTTAATTGAAGTTCAATTAAAAACATCGAACTGTTGATGCTAATCTATACTAGTCTATCTATCTATATATTATTATATAAAAATGAATTGCTGTCCGTTAGTCCCGCTTAAACTCGAGAACGGCTGGACCGATTTGGCTAATTTTGGTCTTGAGTTATTTGTGGAAGTCCAGAGAAGGTTTAAAAGGTAGATAAATATGAAAATGCTCGGAATTAAATAAAAAATAACAATTTTGTTTTTCCTTTGACGTGTCCCCCGTTTTTTACCGATTGAGGCACTACAAAGTCTGCCGGGTCAGCTAGTACTAATATATAAATCTAGAGTGGTTTTTACGGATGTTCCGTTCTAACTACTGAACCGTGCATCCGATTGACTTAAAATTTGGTATTCATGTAGAAAATACATGTACTTAATGGATAGGCTAATATTTATATGAGTGTTGGACTCCCTACACCAGTTGCGGGAGGGTTATTTTTTTATTTATTTTTTTATTGCTTAGTTGAGTGGACGAGCTCACAGCCCACCTGGTGTGAAGTGGTTACTGGAGCCCATAGACATCTACGACGTAGATTCGCCACCCACCTTGAGATAGAAGTTCTAAGGTCTCAAGTATAGTTACAACGGCTACCCCACCCTTCAAACCGAAACGCTTTACTGCTTCACGGCAGAAATAGGCAGGGTGGTGGTACCTACCCGCGCGGACTCACAAGAGTTCCTACCACCAGTAATTACGCAAATTATAATTTTGCGGGTTTGATTTTTACTAGTGGTCCCCCGGTAGTCGAAATTCGACTATAATTAATTGAAATTATAAGTTTGTACACTATCATGTTTCTATTGTCAAAGACTATTATTATACTTCTATAATCACAGATTTCCAAGACTACACTTTAGACTATAAAGACAAACAAAATTGAAACCTATTCTAAATTTCACCACAGACTTTAAGCAATAAGAAAAGTTTGACAGTAAGCAAAGCGTATGTGTGTCAAATACATGGTAGTGTGTGTAATGTTGTTTATTATTCATTTAATGTATTTTTTATGCATAATTAAAAAAAAATAAGACTCTGGACTCCTTCTCTATATTCTTTATAAGTGTGGGAAATTTCATACTCCTCCGTCCGCGCAATTTTCGTAAAAGTTTTTTATTGATTTAATGTATTTTTATGCATAATTAAAAAAACTAGAGGTTCCGCAGTAGTCGAAATTCGACTATAATTAATTGGAATTGTAAGTTTGTACACTATTATGATTGTATTTTATACTTCTATAATCACAAATTTCGCCAAGACTACACTATAATAAATATTAACAAAGACAAACAATATTTAATCTATTCTCAATTTGACAACAGACGTCAAGAACAAAAGTTTGACAATAAATAGTATGCATGCGTGTGTGCGTCGAATACATGGTATGTAGTGTGTGTAAAGTTTTCTTTATTTATTTTGATGTATCTTTTAGGCATTATTTTAAAAAAATATTAGCATTGTGCACTTCTTCTCTATATTCTCTATAAGTGTGGGAAATTACATACTCCTCCGTCCGCGCAATTCTCGTAAAAAGGGGTACAAAGTTTTTGCTTCACGTATTAATATATAGATTACACGATGTTATTCTTTCACCGTGGAAGTCAATCGTGAACATTATCAATGTTATTGTTATTGCGTAATAACATTGTTTTTTTCACTAGTGACGTCTGAACTGAACGAAAACGACTTTCAACTATATTTTTTACGAGGCAACGCTCTGGATTCTCGACTGCACGTGTTGAAATTCAGAGCGAGGGCGCTATAAAAAAATAGAAGCCGAATCAAAAGCTTTTTTTTGCTATCGGTTTCAAAGTTTACCTTCGGAATATCGGTTGAATTGTCATTGTCCTTAATACGAAATCCATACAAACTTGGGCCTGGCGTTACAGTGATAGAATTTGGGCATAAATTACAATACCTAAGAAGGTTTCATGAGCCCAATTTTCAGCTCTCCCAGCAATGACCAAATTGGTAAAATCAGACAATGTTTACATTTTAGGTTATGTTTATTGTTCGAGATATTTTAATAGAAAACGATATTTTTGAGGCTGTTTCCTACTAAAGATGAGTAATTGTTTACGAAACCCGTTGCAACAACAGGTTGCTTTGAAAATAAAAATGGAACCTGTTACGAGAAATCGCGCATTAGGTTGTTTACGAAAACGAACGAAAGCCAAAAATTAAAAACAACGTGATGCGAAACGCGCTGCGCACGAAATGATTTTTTTAAGGGGTTTTATGACCTGGTGACTATAATAAGATCTTTAGCTCAGTGTTATTTTAATTTTAACGAAAACTTTTTTATATGATAAACGATACTTATATGATAACTTTTTTATATAAAAAATAAATCATTACGTGCTCCCATATCATCTCATCTCATTTTATTTCATGCCTTTTTTATATTTTTTTTATTGCTAGATGGGTGGACGAGCTCACAGCCCACCTGGTGTTAAGTGGTTACTGGAGCCCATAGACATCTACGACTTAAATGCACCACCCACCTTGAGATAGAAGTTCTAAGGTCTCAGTATAATTACAACGGCTGCCCCGCCCTTCAAACC